GTCACTAAAAGCTAACAACTATTAAAAAGCTCACAAAAGTATCTTTTCAGCTAGTTGTGTCAAACATGCCCTTAGGCTATGATTGGTTGGCGTAAGTCCCTGACTTCTAGCTTTTGTACTGTTCAAAAAGTTCCTAAAAGCTTCTAGTTGTGTGTTTGGCATGACAATATTTAAGAGCTTTTCAAAAATTAAAAGATCTTTTTTGAGATGCTACCGGGAGTAGCATCTAAGAAAAGCTAGTGACTTTTAGTATTAATTAATCCTAACAGCTTGTATACCAAACCGAGCTAAATCAAACAGTCAGCTTTTTATCAAACAGCTACCACCTTTTCTTTTTAAGATCTTTTCAGTCACTAAAAGCTAACAGCTATTAAAAAGCTCACAAAAGTATCTTTTCAGCTAGTTGTGCCAAACATGCCCTTAGCACGTTCGTCTAACATATATCTTTTGATTTTGTGTGCTGAGTTGTGTGTAATAATCAAAATAAGTAAAGTTGAAGTCACTTTTCTAGCTAAATTGACCGATATTGTAAATGACCATTTTTACTATTTGTTTATATAGTTTTTCTTTGTTTTGTTATCAATATACTCCGTATATTTTAAATATGATTTTTTTCATAATTCAGCAGAATCGATCGATTCAATCACTTCAACCATAACTTTAAAAAATCATTAGAATCGGTCTATTCATCCCATTTCAATGTTATCAAACGGGCTTTAAGAAGTTGTTCTCTTCACCTGATCTGAATGTTTCTGATATGAATTTTTTAAGTTCTGATCTGATCTAAATTTTTTTTATCTGATCTGATCTGAATCTTTCTGATTTGATCTGAATCTTTCTGATCTGGTCTGATCTGATCTCAATCTTTCGGATCTGATCTGAATCCTCCTGATCTAATCTGAATCTTTCTGATCTGATTTGAACTTTCTATAATTATAATTATTGTAATTATAAATATAATTCAAATATAATTATAATTAAAATCACAATTATAAATATAATTTAAATATAATTATATTTAAAATCATAATAATAAATATAATTCAAATATAATTATAAATAAAATCATAATTATAAATATAAATTAAAACTATAATAATTACACTTATTATAGTAATTATAATTGTAATTATATTTTGAATTGTATTCTTAATTATAATTATAATATTTATTTCTATATAATAATATTATTATTACTATATTTATAGTTATAGTAGTAGTAGTGGTAGTAATAATAATAATAATAATAATAATAATAGTTATTATTATTATTATTATTATTATTATTATAAAAGTGATAAATAATGTTTGAAATTTTCAGATCTGATATGATCTGAATGTTTCTGATCTGATTTGAATGTTTCTGATCTGGTCTGATCTGAATTTTTATGATCTCATTTGAATGCTTCTGATCTGATATGATCTGATCTGAATTTTTTTTGTCTGATCTAGATTTTACTGATCTGATCTGATCTGAATAAAATAAGAATAAACAATAAGTAATAAGAATAAGACGAATAGGACATCTTCTAAATCATAAGAGAATATGGTGAGAATCCAAATATAAATTGATTTGGAGCCAAAAGAAGTGAAAATTTGTTGTCATAATTAATGAGACATTATTGAATTCCTTTAATTAATAATAATAATTAATACGTAGTAACAATCAATGATTAAGTACAAGTGTAATTAATAGTTGTAATGTACAAATAAAACATTAGAAAAGTCTGTGAAAAAGAGTGAAAATGAAATGTTCTAATTTTAAAATATAAAATAGATTACTATATTATATTCAATTGGGCTAAAGGGTCAAATAGGCCCTTGAACTGACTTAAAGTGTTCAATTAGCCTCTTATATAAGAGGTTCTGCCCCGCGGTCGCCAATTGGGGCGGTTCCGGTGGAATTTTTTGATGAAAATTTTTTAGCATCTTCTTCATTAAGTGTAGTTTACTCATACCAAATTTCAGCTAAAAATTCAACCGGGCAGAAATTCCTATATAAGGGGCTAATTGAACACTTTAAGTCAGTTCAAGGGCTTATTTGACCCTTTATCCTATTCAATTGTGATAAATCTCGATAGAAAAATTGTATAAAATATAATAGTAATAATTAGTACCCCGATGAAACTAATTTGCCATGATTGAATTGCATGTGAAATATGAAATTAAAATTTGTGTGATTGGGATTTGTGTAGAGGGGATGATTATTATAACTGTACACTTCTTCCGTCCCAAAAAATTGGTCAATTTGACTTTTCTTACTCAATGATGTTAAGTTTAGACAATGATTTTAGATATTATATTTGTATGTAATTTATAAATTTTATACTTTTATGAAATATTTTTTAATAAAGAATAAGCTCATATAATTTTCATATTTTAAATAATTTTGTATTAAAAGATATCATTGGTCAAAGTTGATCACCATTGACCAAGAAAAGTCAATTTGGCCAATCTTTTTGGGACGGAAGGAGTATTTATTACTTTAAATGAAAATGATAATTTTTTGAGACAGTTAAATAAAAATGGTTGGCAAAGTTTGCATAAGGGAGGGGTAGTTATTATTAATAATCAACTGAAAAATAAAATACAAAATAACTCATTAATTTAATTCTACTATATTTATCAATTAGTAAATATGTACCTTTTATAAAAAATAATTCAATCGTTACTAGATTCGCAGAAATGAACATATCATTGTACTCAATGAAATTTAATTATCGTAAAATTGTACATAGTTGAACTAGACATTAATTGTAATATTGTATGGCAGTAAACAACAATCTTTATAACAACACGTTTAAAAAAATTATAAACATGTAAGTGATACAATACTCCACTAATAATTGAAAGTACCACATCTATGATTGGCTCATATAATTATTTGTCATTTATTTATGTTTAAACTAACTAATTGATCACCATTTATAATTGGCCGCATCTTGACAAGGTGAGATATCTTGGATGTAGCTTAGATTTCGCTTTATATATATATATATATATATATATATATATATATATATATATATATATATATATATATATATATATATTTGAAGTATCTATTTTCTTAATATTTGATAACACTTTTTGTGATATTTTGATAGTGTAATTATTACGAATGTTTTTTAAGTAAATTTTTTGTATAACTCAAATAAATACATGTTCAAGTCTTCTTAAGTAATAATATGATTAGACCCGTTTATGGAAAATAGTATGATTAATATATTGATTCTTTATTCTCAAAAAAAAAAAAAAAATCTAGATAAATTTTTAACTCCACTATTTATGCTTATATTTATCATTATACCTACAGTCCTTATAGTATAGCAAATATGGCGATATTATAGAATAAACATTTCAACTTTTGGATGAAACTTATTTAGAAACTTTAAAGCATAATCAAATTTCAAGTTTAGACACATTTTAATATTAAAAATTATATATATCAAGTATCTGAGATATAATAAAAGGTAGTGTATATAATAGTGATCATAATTATCACTAAATGATGTGAGATTGGAATATAATACTCATTGTTACCATCTTCACTATACAAGATAAATTGAGGAGGGAAGAATGCTTATTAGGTGATTTTATATTAATTTGAGTATCTCTAACAAATATCATACATGTACTCTAATATAACTCTACATCATATTTTAATTTTTACACAACAAGTATGTATACACACATTACTCATAAAATTGATGAATTTCATCCGTTATCTGTGCAACACACGAGTTAATTGACTAGTCATTTTTATTTTTATATACAAAGAGAGCACAGTAAAAAATCAAATAGAAATCTATTTGACGTCAAAAAGAAGTGAAAAATGTTGTCCTAAAAATGAAGTCAAAAAATAGTGTCCTAAATAATCAAATCCATTCAATTCACCTCCTTTATTAGTTGAAAATTTTCAAATCAAGTAAATTCAATCAATTTAAATAATTTCAATGTACGTTATCAAACAGACTATCCGGTTTAAGTAGACATGTCTTTAGTTTATTGCCACACCCTACAAATGTTACACGCCATTCAAAGTCAAACTTCACTGGCGTACAAGGCATTTACTAATACTACTAGTATTCAATACTACGTACTATGTATGGTTTTTACAATTTTCAAAATTTATAAAAGGTAGAGTGAAAGTTAGTTGAAGAAAGCATATTACATGTACATATAAGAGTTGTGAGAGCATATTATATGTACATATAAGAGTTGTGAGAAATTTATAATAGTAAATATTGATAGTGTTTGAAAATTGAAAAAAGAAAATTGAATTTTTTGTTTAAAACGGAATACACTTTTTGTGAAATAAAAAGTGAAAAATAGTTTAAGTATTCTCGTATCTAAATTCCACTTCTAACTTTAAACTACTTATTCCTAGACAAAAACACCTATTAAAAAATTAGGTTTTTAGAGTAAGAACTAAGAAGATGAAAATTACTTAACATAAAGTCATAAACATTTGCAAAAGCTCCTCTCATATGATCTTAATATTCCCATATTTGTTTTAACGTATAGCCTACTACTAGTCAGTAATACCGTTTTATTTGATTGATGAAGTATTATGCACTCCATTTGTTAAAAATAATACGGTATTAATCATTTGATTAATACCGTATATATCTGTGAACCCGTTTTACAGACAATATTTTGTTTGTGCAAAATATTGTCCGTGAATCGGGATTCACAGATAAAAAAAAGGTGACAACTCCGGTACCCATTTAAAAAATGGGGTACCGTACCTACCATGCATTTGATTGGTCCAAATCATTAAATCCCTTTTAATTTAGATTTATATAATTCGACTGCATGATTCTGATTGGTCCATGTGGACAAAGGTACGGTACCCTATGGATACCATAGAATCTACCTAAAAAAAATATCTTCACAAACATAATAGGTAAGTATAAATGTGGGTATAAGAGTGGTAGAAAGATCATTTTTATTAATTTATAATGGATAAATCCTGTTCCTCGCCTTTGCCTTTATTGAGAAGGCATCTTCTTTATGGCACCAACTTGTAACCGCATTCTCTCTCATTAATCTTCCCATTTACTTCAACTTTCTCACTTCTCAAGATCCTCAGTTCCCCTCACTGGTTCTACCGCTGGTGTGTGTCTTCTTCCCTGGTCTAAAAAGTTTGTTTCATGAAGCTTCAATACGATTCTGGGAAGCTAAGCTAATATCATGAACAGTGAAAAGATCGAACTCTCCCCTGTCCAGGAAGAAAGAGAAGTTGTTTTGTCAATCCCTATGGTAATTTCTACTCATCCTTCTTGTCTGAATTCTTGTAAACTTTCCCTAATTTCAAGGGTTTTATTTTTTTATTTTTGTAGTAATTTTGTATGGATGTGTGATTGGGACTTGGGGGCTGGCAGGGGTGTTGGTTCTTGTCTTATTATGGGCAGTGCCTTCTGGTAAGCTGCAGCTCAAAAGATTAAAACTTTTTTTGAATTATTGAAAATACCCTTTTGGGGATAACCTGAATAACTTCTTGTTTTGGAAACTCAAATAGTAGCAGATGATCAAATGTAGAAACGCATAAAGTTGTTCTTCAATTTATTTTATAGAAAAATGACTCAGTAACCATATCAGCATATAGGAGTATACGCCTGCCGCATAACCAATTGCACTGTAAGCACCACCAGTGATAAGTTGCTAAATTGTTTAAAAGCATTTCCATGCAGTAATTTAATACGTAGTACTATTTAAGTGAAATTAATGGTGAGATTTCATTGAGACTACATCTTTCTTCTCTTGGTAATTTGCAATGGTTGTAAGGACCAACCGTACCACACCTGCTAAGCCATCTCATACTCACCAAATATAAAAACACAACTTTTAGCATAAAGCTTTAGTCTTGATAGGGCTTGATGTGATATCAGAGCTATTCTGTTCAAATGAGCAACTCAATCCGACCAAGACTTGCGAACATGACAAAGACTTCAAGACTTGTGTGTTTCAATGAGACACCATCTTGTGAGCATACATAGCCAACTCATTACGACCATGTATATAAACCCGAATCTTGACAGTTGATAAGAAAATAGTTGTACTTAATCTTTGTGTCTGTAGTGGTACAATCAATTATAGCTTCAATCCTTCAAACCTTACTGGTTTGGTTACCAAAGGCCGTAAAACAACAACCAAGGATATATAAAAGGCAGTCTAAAACGTTTAGGTGACAATGTGGTAATATAAATATATTAGCCTTTATATGGTGAAAGTATGCACAACTTAAAGTTGAGAATAGATTTTAAATACAATCATTCAAAGTTCATACTTAAAATAAAATAAAAAGTGCTAATAATTTTAATAAAACATAAAAAAGCTTTCATATACTATACAGACTAAATTTTCAAAATTTTAAGTCTAGTAGGGAAAGTGTTGTAGTCTTTCTTGGAAGCACTATTAGACACCCTTGATATTTTGTATCTAAATAACTCTAAATATTTGATCAGTTTCATTCGACACTCTTGACTAATGGGATTTTTGAATGACAGACTAAGTTCAGAGAAAGGGTCTTGCATTGTGTACTGCATTTTACCTAAGATGTTTTATCACACGTTTATTACTCTTTATTAGTTCACCAGGATGAAACTCTTGAATTTTGCAGCCTGAGAGTTCCTCTGGGATCATTGAAGAAAATGCAAATGCTAAAAGTGGGAAGAAGCCTAACCTTTTTCTAGAGATACCCACAAGAACAATGGAGGATTCGAGTCAAGAGTTGGTTCACATAAAACCATTTCCAACACCAAAGAAGGTGAATTTTGATTTGACACCATGTCATGCAGGTCCAAGTGTAAATGTTTCATCACCTGGCCCATTATCATCCAGAAACCGATCATCGATCAGGAATCTGTTGCCTAAATTAAGCTTTAAGCACCGGAGCTGTAATCCAGATTCAGAGAAGGGGGGTACTGATATTGATTCTGGTTCTTTAGAAAAGCTCCCCATATCAAGGTCTTGGTCTTTCACTAGAATTTTCACACCCCGCATGAAGAGGACCTCTTCCTTGCCACTTGATCCTATTGTGCATTCAAATCCAGAGCTTGCACGTGTGGGAAGCATAAGTAACCCTCCAACACCAGCTGTAAGTTCTTCAGCATATGATATTTGTAGATTTACTACCCATGTAGCAATTAAGGCTTCGCTGGTTTAGAGGAAAATATGTTCCTTGAAACTGTTTTATGATTTACCTGTCTTGGCACATGAAAGCATATCTAGGGTCTGTTTGGACTTTGGAATTCGAAATCTTGAAAGAATTTAGTAAGTTTACCTGAAATAGCACTAAAGAGGTTTGGAAATTCCAAAATAGGACTGTCATGTTTTTATTCCCAAAATAGGACTAATTACTGTCATGTTTTGGCAGTACCAGACTTCAAACATGGCAGTATTTTCCAAACTTGGCAGTAATTACTCTTATTTTGGGAATAAAAAACATGGCAGTCCTATTTTGGAATTTTCAAACTGTTTTAGTCCTATTTCGGGAACTTTCCCAAGAATTTAAGAAAGCATGGAGCAAAATAAAAGGGAAATTTGGAAGGAAAGAAAATGCATGGGAAACTTTCAAACTCAATAAATCACCAGAAAATAACTTTCCTCGGAGCTTTTTCATTTCCCTGGCATGTCTTAGGTCCAAATATACCCTAAAGCTTATAAGGGAAATGACTTCCAGTAATGGAAATAGAGTCATTTTCCTGAAACAGTTCTACGTTTTATGTTTTCTTGAAACAACGGGAGCCTAAGTATGGAATAGTCTACCTATTGGTTGTAAACGAAAAGGATTTGAGCCTAAAATGCAGCTTCAAGACTTCTCTGTTTTTTGTCTGGTCATATTTGAGTTTTGATAAATAGACATTTTGTATGCCAACTATAACTTTAGTTTCATATTGCAGTCAAAAGGAGCTCTTAAGTTCATTTCTCGGTCACTTTCTCTACCAGCTAACAGCAAGAATCAAAACACTCGGAAAGTGGAATGTTTTTTTCGAGTTATACCTTCGACACCTAAAGTAAGAGATGTGAACTCCAGTATTCCACCTACAAATTCAACCGGAGATTCTGGTAGTGTCTTGTTTCATTTCACATTAAGCCTGCTTGGATAATGATCTTTGTGTGAAGTCTTTCATCAAAATATTAGAGAAAGACATATGGGATCCTTCTGTGAAAATGTGAAAATTTATAGTAAAGAGTTTAAATGTAAAAATACAGAAATATCCCTATTTAATAATTCTATTACCTTCTGTCTTGGGTTAGACTAGCTAATCTCTCAGTTTCTATCTTGTAAGCTGGATTGATCATGCACATTCTGACCCAATTGAGCTACACCCACCAAACTTTCAACTTTTGCATGTACAAAAATTAGGTGTATGGTTTTGGGTGCACCCAGTCTAACATTAGTTTTTTTCAGAAGAAAATGAGGAAGATGGTGAAGATATACCTGAAGAAGAAGCTGTTTGTAGGATCTGTTTGGTTGAACTGTGTGAAGGTGGAGAGACACTCAGGATGGAGTGCAGCTGTAAAGGTGAACTTGCTCTGGCCCACCAAGAATGTGCAGTTAAATGGTTTAGCATTAAAGGGAACAAGACATGTGAAGTGTGCAAGCAAGAGGTCCTTAATCTCCCTGTTACACTGCTCCGGATTCAGAGTGTACGGAATGCTAATAGTGGCGCAAGTAGGTTTGGTCAAATGGAAATAAATGGCCATAGGTGGGCACGAAATATTGATTATTTGTTTTGATAAACCTTTTGATTGTGAAGATTGCTAGTGTTATTAGCAGCGCCAAAAGACTTCAGTTTCTTTTTTCAACTTCCTTAGGCAACCTAAGCATATGATATAGTTTCATAATTGCATATATAACAAAATTGTCATCTGATCAGTATTAGTGATTTGACAACAGGGTTTGGGAGGAAGTGCCCATTCTGGTCATTGTTAGCATGTTGGCCTACTTTTGTTTTCTTGAGCAGCTATTGGTAAGATTGGCATCTCTTCAATGACTGGAAACAAAAAAAGCAGTTGTTTTTAGTAAAGAATGAATACTCTGTAATAAACTGAAGTGTTCATTCTATACAGGTTGGGAAGATGGGTACTGGTGCCATTGCCATTTCATTGCCGTTCTCTTGTGTCCTCAGCCTTGTTGCATCTATGACTGCATCCACCATGGGTATGGTTTTGATGTTGCAAAGCAATGTTAGAAGTTCGTTAATTTTTAAACCTAAACAAATCATTTTTACGCCGCCTTCAATTTGACACACAATTTGACACACAAGTTAGGATAACAAATCATTACTACAAAAGAAGCTTCAAAATATTACGGAGTATATAATAGTAACAGCAGTACAATAATAGTATTAGTTCTTTTTACAATTGGTATTAGGCTATTAGCAGTAGAAAGTTTAAAGCCTTACTCAGGTAGGAGAATTTGAGGTAGATAAATATGCCAAACTACCCAACGGTTTCAAATAACAAACAAAATACAATTGGAGTCCCATATCAGATTTATGCTTATCTCACCCAAAGGAATCATCAATAGAGGTTGAACCCGCACTTAACTACCTTATTATAGGGATTTGGTAAATGTCTGATGTGGCACTTGACAAAAAGACAGGTTTTATTTCATCAATTCCAGACTCAATATATAAGAGTTCAGTAAAGTCGGTTTTCAGATTCTGTCAGGGACGAGTCTCCATATCCCAACCACACTAAAACATCCCTCATGAGATGGACAATCTGACTTTTTCATCGCCTTTTATTTTTGCAGTTAAGAGAAGATTTATCTGGGTTTATGCATCTGTTCAGTTTGGACTTGTCGTATTCCTGGGTCATGTTTTCTACTCATTGGTATGATGCGGCCTCTTTTCTTTTCCCACACCATCTTTTTTGAATCTGGTATATGGGACAAGGTGGATAATGGGGAGTCATCACATTATAAATTTATAATGCATGGGCATGCATGTTTTGCAGGTTCACCTGCAAGCCATAATGTCAGTTCTTTTGGCAACGTTTGCTGGGGTTGGCGTTGCGATGAGCGGAAGCTCCATCATAGTTGAGTTTTGTAGGTGGAGAAGAGGACGACGCAACTTGTTGGATCAACAGCAACACATTCGTCCAGCGGTGCTTCCTCCTGAACAACAGCCACAACAATCTGATGTGGAAAATCCAGAAACTCTCAGGGGGAGGCAATAAGAAAGTACTTCAGGAAGTGAGATATTATTGTACAGCTGTAGAAGGCAGATTTCGTATTAAACTCTTTTGGAAGTGTCATCTTTAGATGTTTAGGGCCGGTTTGTAACGATTGGTGAATCTAATGAATTTTATGTTCAAGGACACTTTGGTTACTTATTTTCTTATGTTTGGTTTTGAAAATGTAAATGGAAGTGAAATATTTGTTTCTTTTTGTCTACACATGTGTGGATTTCTTTATTATTTAATAATAGGCGTAAGTAAATAAATTGTGTATCATCAAATATTTAATGAGAAAACTATCAAATAGGCCCTAGTACTTTGTGTGTCTGCTTATGTGACTTTTTTTTTTCTTTTGCTCTTTCTTTTTTCTGTTTTATTTTTTCTCTTTTCGGTTCACTTCTTCCTCAGCACAGATCTAATCAACCCAGTGCTTTAGCTACTTCACTTTCCTCTTCAACCTTCATTGCCGCCGGAGAGGGGGGCCACCACAGGTTCCGGAGAAGAGATGTCTGCAAAGGGTGTCAATTTGAGGATGGCCGTTGGAGTCAGCCATAGTAAGTTAGCAGCGATATATCCTCGAGCATCCATTTTCGGCGTGGGTATACCGTATACCTTTGGAGCCAAATTCGCCGAATACTGTAGCAATTGTCTTGATTCGTTTTTGTGCTCCCATCGTTTTCGGCGTGGGTATCAGCCCCTTTTAAAATCTTTAATTTGAGATCTTTTCAGTTATGAATCCCCATTTTACTTTGCATTTTACTGTAATGGTTAATTATGCATACAGGGTTATATATACAACATTTTACTGTAATGAGTAGATCCGATGCTTGTTACCAGTCCTTCCCTTCATATTCTTTTCTTTCTTCCCAGCTTCCAATTGAGTTTTTTAGAAAACCTAGCCCTCACGATCGAAAGCAGAAATGAATAGTATCTATGAATACTGAATCGAAAAAATACAGAGGAAAAATGTAGCGGAAAGCTATTGGTGTCCTCTTCTCCGGTCATTTTCATCACCGGTGTGTCTCGCCGTCGTTCACCTTTGCCGCCGATCGTCTATGCAGTCACCTACTGAAGGCATGAATAGAAAACGACCGGGGAAAGAGAAGGAAACAAAGAAAGGAAAAGAAAGAACGAAAAAGAAAGGGAAAAAAGGAAAACAAATGACACATGGACTGCCACGTGTACCAGCAACCGGGAACCGGTTATTCACCTGTTTAATTGAGTGTTTCTTATGAGTATAGGGATTCAATTGGGTGTTTTTAGAGTACGGGGGCTTAATTGAGGAATTGGTCAAAGTACAAGGGCTTATTTGATAGTTTTCTCAATATTTAATATAAATGATATGATTTTAAGAATGCATGTAACCCCTCTTTTGGGACTAAGACTGTAACCTCCTCTTCTTTTTTCCTTTCAATTTTGATCTCTGTGTGGATTATTAGTGGACTTGTTAAAAGTTAAAACTTATCTCATTCCAAATTATTTGTAAGTAATGCATTCAAAACAGTTAGTTTTGATAAATAACTTCAAAATGTAAATTCATTGATTTTATATTTAAATGTGCCATGTTAATTGTGTTTTTAATTTATGCGAATAAGCTCCTTTTTAGGGAAAGTGAGAAACAATTAACATACTATCTATGTAAGAAAACTAAATTCTACTTATCTGTGCACTAATAATCCCTATGTTTACACAAATTAGTGAATCGCACTAAATTGAGTAAATTCTACTTATCTGTGCATTAATAAGTCCGCATACAATTTGTGAATTTGGTGGTTTTGAAGTGGGTTTTCTTAAAATATTATTGAGTTAAAACTTCCAGATAAAGATTGACTAAAGATAGCCTAAATTATTTTTTCAAATGGGGTTATTGAGGAAATTATTACCAAAAAAATTGATAGGGTATATAGGCTCTGGCCCACATACTCTAGAATAGACAATCGGCCTAGATGAGGGCGCGAATGGACAAAACAACCATGATCGAACAAGGCTACGCAAAATACATTGGGCCAACACTATTGTCTGTAATAGGGGCGTGTGTATCAACTTGAATTAATTGAACCGTACCAAACCGAACTGAAACTTGATGATATGCAATTTGGTTTGAGTTTGGTAGTATTTCTGCCAAACCGTATTAAACCATACTGAACCGAAATCGTGAAAAACCGAATAAAACCGCGAAAAACTGAACAAAACCGAACATAACTAAAGAATTTCAATAAAGCCTTAATATATTATTAAAAATTAACAAATTCAAACCAAACTGAACTAAACCGAACTATACCGAACCGAAAAATAGAATGATTTTTGTTTGGTAACAATTCTTCCAATCTGTTCCAAACCGAACCAAAACCCGTAAAAGTTGATCCGAAAACTGATATGCCCACCCCTAGTACGTACAAGTCCCCTCGGCCAGTGACACCTCATCCAACACGAGATCTAAAACTCGGATAGAATCTCGCTCAATGCAAGGAAACAATGAGGGCGAGGTGCCAAGGTCCATAAGCACCTCGTCCTACGACACCTTGTCAACGAACACAACATATCGTTCTCTGAAGCACAGTAGAGCTCTCGCTCATAGATTAACTATCACATGTATGTGCATTTAATGCACTTAGCATTGATTACTAGTATAATTAAGTACCCCCTTGTCGGAAATGGTTTAGAATTCATTAATATCATATATTTTTCTCTCTCAAAATCTTAGGTCTCCATTTTCTCTACAATACCACTAGAAGTTTACTGGTGATCTATCAAATATATTTGGCTTCACGATAAACAAGTATCACATAAATCATTTCTCACTGTGTCAAATTTGAACATCATTGCAACAAGAATAAATGCTTAAACATCTTAACATCCATAAACTTTCACTAATTCAACAGTTAAATCAATAAATTGAAAAACAAAATCAATGGTATTCAAATGTTAAATTATTAAAAAGAAACTAATTCAAGGCTCACACTAAGTTACTCTTAAGAAATTATAATGACAGTTCTCAAACTCAAACCATATTTCATTCACCTAAAAGGTGAATGAATAACTTAAGAAGTTATGTTGTTGCACTTTGGCCTACGATTAGTCTTTAATCACAAACATAACAAACAAAGTAAAAATAAATAGAAAATCACACAAATATGAAAGGAAAAATATATACATGCAAGAAATCATGGTTGAACGACACACCCACACTTAAAATTTGCACTATCCTCGGTGTAAAAGTAATTAAGAGAGTGTCAACGAAGCGGCAAAGTCTGGAATTATTTATTCTCACAATGTTGAGATGTGCTTTTTCGAGCGAAAGTAAGTCCGAAAAGAAACAAAGAAAATGAAAAACACTTCCTTTTCATTTCTTTTGTTTGATTCTGTTTTTTTATTTACAAAGTTAGATTGCCTCTTAAGAAATACTTGGGGCAGTACATAAGAGCTGCCCTTTGTTTTTCAGTATTGTTATATAGTTTCAATAGTTATTCATTATTGACTGGGAATTTGTTGTCACTTTTGTTTAATAGTTGGACAACTCTGAATGAGAATGCTTCAGTTACTTCAAGTAGGTCAGCCTAATCATCGGGTCTTCAACTTCTATATGGAATTTGTAACGAGAGTTAAAAGAAGAATTTTATCTCCACATTCAAATTTCTCCAATTAATCAATTGGTCATGCAAATCTTTAAGGCCAGTTTGATTGGGGGATTCCGAGGAGAAGGAAGGGGATGGGTCTTATATAAATTTAAAATAATTTTTTCCTTTAGAAAAAAATTGAAATAAAGAAAAGATACAATAGTAGTATATAAAATACATGGTCTAACTAATTATATAGTTATTTGCAGTCTAAAACTAACAAATTCAGATAAATTAGAAAAATAAAAAATCAATCCTTCCCTCCCTTTACCTTCAAAATCCCCAAACCATACAAGCTCTTAGTTCTTTCCTCAATTCCTTGTAGATTTTTTAACTATTAAGCTACAAGCTAAGTCTGAAATCCTCAAATTCATTTAGTTGTAGCTGATAAACAACCGGCATACCATCAAAACGATGAGTACAACTACAATGCTTGAAAAATATAGTACAACTACATTGTGCATAGGAGTTACACCAACAAATTTATATTCCCATTGTTCTTAACTTTGAAGATGAATATGATAGTGGTGGAAGTTTTATCAATACTTTGGAGGTTAGATTTGAAGAGAGAAGGGAGATGAATCTCCCTCCCCCCACCCACATAGAGGATCGAGTAGAGAATAGAGAGAATTGTCTAACACTATGTGTGTACGAATGATTAAAATCATATAATGAAAAGTCTGATTTAACCTTTGTAATTTAAGGAGTGTGGACAATATATTTAAGATGAGGCGCATCATAGTCTAAAAAGTAACAACGGTGTAACAGATGGAGCACCTTAGATTTTCCTTTGTTGAAGCGACATATGAGAATCTATACAATTTTATATGATCAATGAATCATAAAATATCTTTACCCCGGTAGAATTATACACTTGTTTTTATATGCTAGTTATTCTTCTTTTTCATTTTTCTCCTTATTTATAATGCAACAAACTCTTTTTTTTGTTAATCTTGAACTTGAGATTTTATTTCTCATTTTCATCCAGTTCAATGTATTCAAATAATTTGAGGAGTACCTAAAATACAAAACGCTCGTATAACACCACAGAAATACAAAAATAATAATAAAATTATAACCACATTAATACAAAATTAATAAAAATGTGTCTAAAAATACAACTTACTAAAAGTATAATCAATAAAAAGGTTGAAGTTTGAGTGTGTATATATATAAAGAAATATGATCGATTTAAGAAATTAGTGATAGCTAGAAATATAGAAATACATTAATTACCGCTCATCTAGTGGTATACAAATTGAAACTTTATACTAGGGGTATGTTAATTACATTCATTCATATCTTAATGAAGCAATCAATTTGTAAGTAAAACATAAATACATTCTTTAATTAGATTTTTAATTTTTTTATATTTCACACAAAAGAATAATTACATATTAAAAAAACAAATAGAGTGTTGCCACTCTACAATAATAAAAAGTTTTACATGATACTCCGTAATACAATATTACTCCCTCCGTTCCCAAAAATACTTCCCACTTTCCTTTTTGGGCCGTTCCCAAAAATTCTTCCCACTTTCCCTTTTTGGACAATTTGTGTGGCTCACATTCATTTTACCTTTTTCTCACACAACCACAACCACACATTTCCACTTTATTCCACTTTCTTAATAGGCGTGCCAATTCAAACCGGGAAGAATTTTTGGGAACGGAGGGAGTACAATTTACCTAAAATAGTCTCTCCACACCCATCC